CTTTGAAAGATGTGCTATTCAAAGTAAGATGAGTACCTCAGACCTTTTTCCTTCTGGAGTGTCTGTATGATGATTCAAAAAGAGGTATCTTCAAGTAAGGATGAGGAGTTAGGGGATCAATCCAGAAAGCAATATTTGTAATGGCCATTGGACGAGCTTGATTTCACAGGCTCAGAACAAGGAAAATTGTCATGTACCATCTTGTAATTATTGGTACTTCTTATAGCCAATTTAACATTGAAATATTTTTATACTGCCATGACAAAATGAGTGTGAAGTTAAAATATTAAAACATGACCGTAGGGGTAAGGAGTGGCAGGGGGAGGACGGTGGTCTGCTGATTTGTGGTCTTCCATTACAGAGTATGCCCAAGGGAGTTGGTCACCATCCAATTCATTCTCATTCTCTGACACATGTTTATTTTGCCTGAATTACAGAGTTGGTTACTAGCATAAAATATAGGCCTCAGAAGTGAAGAAAGTTCCCTATAACTGAGAAATTAGATAGATTTCAGTTTTTTCTCTTATATCAATCAATGGTATTTAAGCACTATTTGGAAATTGATTTTGTGATCATACTAAATTAGCAAAAGCTTTTTGTAAAGTCAGAAGCACAGCTTGGGTCTTGTTTGTTTTTGTTCTGTTTTTTTTTCGTCTAGCTCTATCTAGGATACTTGTTTCTACCACTGTCATTTCTGCTTCTATAAGTCACTTGGTCCACACAACTTTTAAGGTGGCTCCTAAAACTCCAGTCTGTCCAGGCCCTGGGTGGGATTTTCAGCATTCTTCTTATATTGCCATAAAATGCAATGCTGAAGAGAAAGTTTTAAATAGAGCTTCAGCAACCTCAACAGAAGAGAGTTGAATGATACTTGGGACATTAACTAACTGAAATCTTGTGAAAGATTTTTTTAAGCCCATCCTGGTTGGTCTGGGAAAGGCATGGTAATTCCAGGGTGGACTGAATTTACAATTTCTGCCTCTTTATGTGTAGTTACATAGACTTCCCAGGACATGGAATGTAATTGGTATTCTTTTGTATACAAAGTTAAGGTATAATTACCGTTTTCTTATCTTTCCTCCAAAGGAAAACTCATCAAAACAAGAGCATTTTTTAAAAATATAAATTGATTTGGAAACAATCATAATATTTAGTAGTTGAAGCCCTATTGTACAAAAATGAGTTTAAAATGCAGTCATGTGTCAAATAACAACATTTGAGTCCACTATGGACTGCATATATGACAGTGGTCCCATAGAATTAGAATACCATATTTTTGCTTTACCTTTTATGTATCTAAATATATGTAGGTACACAAATACCATTGTGTTATAGCAGCCTACAGTATTCATTACAGTAACATGGCACACAGGTCTGTAGCCTAGAAGCAATACACTATACTCTGTAACCTTGGTGGGTTGTAGGCTGTGCCCCCTATTTTTGTGTAAGATCGCTTGTACTATGTTCACACAAAGAGGAAAGACATATTTCTCAGAATATAACCCCAGCATTAAGCAACCCCGACTGTAATTACTAATTGTTCCAATAAAGATGTAATATTAAAATGTTGACCTAACATGTTCTGCACAATGAGAAATTATCATTGTCATGGGGTCTGCTGTTACATATGTAGGATTCTAGTGGCTCTTATATTTCAGAGAAAATCCTAGATCTTTAGAGATTAGAAATCAGAGCCATTGTATTTTTACAAAGTTTTATTTGTAAAAAATCTTCTAACATAATAGCAGGTATCTCTTTGTGTTTAAAATGTTTCAGTTGCATAAATTTCACTCATTTAACTTCATTGCCCTAAGGAAATCATTGATAGCATTTTGTCTATGCTATTTAGTTTTAATTTGGTTTGTGGATGTGTGAGAAGGTATTCCAAAATTTCTTAGCTTTTAAAAACATATTCAGATAAGAAAAAACTAACTTAATTGAAAGAGAAGAATTATAGATAAATTGAGGAACTACTAGTACTGAATCCTAATGTATGAAAAATTCACAACCTTTTTATTGTTCATGCCAAAATGCTGATTTTTACAGCCATGCAATGGTACCTACTACATATGTCAGACATCTAGTTCTGTGCTATTCAGTACAGGACAGGACAGGACAGGACAGTAGTCACCAGCCACATGTGGCACGTAAAGTGTGTTCAGTCCAAATTGAGATGTGCTGTAAGTGTAAAATATGTACTGGATTCTGGAGACTTTGTACAAAATAAAGACTTTAAAATATCCTGTTGATAATTTTATATATTGATACGTGTTAAAATAGTAATATTTTATATATACTGACTTGAATAAAACATTATTACATTTAATTTCACCTGTGTTCCTTTTCCAAATGTGGCTGCTAGAAATCTTTAAAGGATAAATGAAGTTTGCATTTCTGAACCACATTACATTTTTGTTGGTAGTTCTGGTCTAGATCATCCATACGTCTGTATATTTATGTTTCAGAAGCAGCATCATGTCCTCAACAGAAAACCCTATTGAATAACTTTCAACTATAACCTCTGATTTTATTTTCTTAACATTTCAAATGCTGTTTTTCAACATCATCTTTTGATTCTTTTCTGTTTGTTTCTAGCACAGTGGTACTTTAAACTACCTCTCTGATACCAGTAAGTCTCCTAGGAATTTAAATAGGCCTCAGTGAAAGCAATACTTGAGCCTCATTTATATGTTCGAGTTAGATCATTATTCCTAATAATGGCTTTAAGTGCTTAGATAGATCAGCACTCCGTGTCTTGAATTGCTTGTCATTTCTTTATAAAGATGTTTCAAGAAATTACTCCATGTGATCCTTTCTTTCATTATTTTCTAGCAAAAAGTAACATAATCCTTTATTGGTTTGTTGGAAGTCAGAGAAGAAAAGCCTCGGATATTCGCAAAAACAACATGTATTTCTAGGTACTGAGAATAAAGTGCAAAATTCGTCATGAGTGATAGTCCTGCAAAACTTAGCTTTTAAAATAAATCTTGAATGCACTGTCAATCTACCAGTGGCTTTAACCTCTATTTTATTTTCCCATTCATTATACTTTGGTCCAGGTTGTCATCAGCTACCATGAGGAAACCTATGTAATTCCTAGAGAGAGAAAAGTTGCACTGTTAAGACTTAATAGTATGGTAGTCATGGAAGCATCAGTTATCTTCATCAAGGCAATTCAGATTTGATTATTGTAGAACTGTGTTGAATACCAAACTAGTGGAGTAGTAGCTGGAGCTAAATCAAGGGATTGTCATTTTTGTCAGATGATTAGGGCTGGCTTGGAAGAGATTTGAAAGGGTTGAGCTGTGTAAATATTCTCTTTTCAGCAGAAAAAGAAAAGGTCCATCATGGCCATTAAGATGCAGCTCGTTAGCTTGATGAATTTCCAACTATTTAACCTTAGCAATTATATCCCCCGCCTCCCCTATGCCTTCATGCACGTCTGTCAGTGCCTTGGGATTATGTCTCCATGGGTTGATATCTGAGCATGTTGGTAATTTTCTATTAAGATAAAATGCAGCTTCTCTGTGTCTAGATATATCTCCCAAAGGATGGTACATGCCCTTGTTAAAAGACCTAATTATTAACTTGAATTATATTCTCAGGTAAATATGAGAACACATTTATTATAAGTTTTGTTAAAACTTTTTAATGGAAAATACATGTAATTGAACATTTTAGAGATGTGGTATTCGTTTAAGTTATGTTTACTGGTTAAATAAATATAAGTATATTAAGTCTTTATAAATTAGAAGTATATTTCTTTAATTTGTATTTACCTGTGAGAGACTTGATGCACTTAAATAATGGAAACATATTTAAATAGACATACTGACCTAATGATTCAAGAGCATGTTTGCAATGTTTATACATCATATTAAATCCCAGAAAGGGCAGTGTTACTGCTGCTTTTATGAAAATAAGCATTGGTCTATTTGCTTTTGTATTGTAATGGTTATCCTGATGATATTTTTGCTACCTAAAATATTTTAGACACTTATTAAACTCATAAATAGGATAGATGACATAGAAATTGCTAACTTTAAAAGAACTGTTGAATTCTGAAATAACTCATTTTAGGAGAAGAAAGATTCAGCGTGCCATCTAGTGGACATTTAAAATTCTGTTCATAAAAAAAAAAACTAAGTGATTTTTTTTACTCTTCAAAATGCAGTTAGCAGAAAACGACATGAAGGAAGTCATGGAAGTATTGATGGAAGTATTTCAGATTGTGTGTGAAAACCCCACACTGTACCCCAGAAGTGCATTAATGTACATAGTTACCATTCAATTAAAAAAATGCAGTTAGGCTGACAACTTCTATTTCTCAGTCCCTTTAGCATAGTTTGTCCTTGTGTTACATCTCATGTGGTTTTCTGGTTTTGTTATAATTTTGTCTCATTTTATTTTGGAAAGTTATATATATTTTGAAATCATGAAAAATAAATCTAGTCCAAGCATGGTGGCTCACACCTATAATCCCAACACTTTGGAAAGCCTGGATAAGAGGATTCCTTGAAGACCAGGAGCTCAAGACCAGCCTGGGCAACATAGTGAAACTCAATCTGTACAAAACATATATATATTTTTAAATTAGCTGAGTGTGGTAGCACGTGCCTGTACTCCTAGGTGCTCAGGAGCCTGAGGTAAGAGGATCACTTGAGCCCAGGAGTTCAAGGCTACAGTGAGCTATGATTGAACCACTGTACTCCAGCCTTAGGGTGGTAGAGCAAGACCCTGTCTCAAAAAACAAACAAAAAAATAGATAAGTAAATCACCCTAATGACAGGCATAAATCTATGTGAACTGTGAGACAGGTAAAAATTTTAATGCTTAATCAAAACTAAGGAAGCACATTTAAAAAGCATAGTCCAAGCATGGTAGTTATTAACCTTCATTATTGTATGTGTTCTTTTCTGAGGAAATATAAAAAGGATTATTTCAGTCCTTTTATGTGTGACTGTATAATTTAAATATCTTTGATTTTTTTTTTCCTTTAGAGAAATCCAAGACCAGTGACTTACCAATTCCATCCAAATTTAGATTATTACAAAGCAAGGGGAGCAGACCTCATGAACAAAAGCCGGTAAGTCTCCTTTCTCTGGTGATAGTTATAAATCACAAAGATGGTCTCAGAGGTCATTGGGAAATTTTGCACATGGCTGAAAATAATTTACCAGATTTTAGCATATCAGTGGCTAATGTATATAATGAATCTTTGTTAAATAAGCTATCTAAGTTTTTTTTTTAAGGCCTCAGAAAATGGTAAGTATTGATGTCAGTGATAAGATGAAAAATTAAATCTATGTAAGAGTACTTATTACAATTTGAAGTTAGGCAACTTCATTTTTCTAACACTAATAAACTTGAATAAATTGTGCCTACTTGTATAATCTCTTTCTAGATTTTTGCTGTTGATTGAAAAGAGGCAATTCTATAATATATTTTAAAATTATTTCAGTAACAAAATTAAAATTGGGTTTCCCAACTGTCTTTAGCTACACAATAAGCTTATAAATGCATCTTGTGTGTGCATTTGTGATTGCATACATAGAAATTTTAAGGGTCACTGTAGGAATAAAAAAAACATTAAAATCCTACTTTTAAAAGAAATTAACATTGGCATAAAGGGTTGATGAACAGTTTTGTTCTTTCATAATACTATATTCAGATGTCTCGAGAGTTAACTTGTCAAACCAGAACTGTTTCAAATTAGAATGTAATTTCAAAGTTTACTCGGGAAGACTAAAATGTTAGTAATGATAAATGCTGCCAAGTTGTCCGAATTTTCTTCTTTAAGCATTTTGCCTATCTGGTAGCTTTTCTTCAGTAGAATTCCAACAGCCTAAATATACATTTATGGAGTACATACACACAGTGTGTTCTACTGTTTCTGGAGAGTTAAAAATAAGTTATAATTCCTGCTACATAAGAACCTATAGTCTGGGGGTGGGAAGAAGTTTACAACAAAGTGGCTAAATTTGAACTTGAACTTAAAGTTTAAATTTATATTTTGAACCCCACCCATCCTAGTATAATGTTATTATAAAATTACTCATCTTTGATTAAAATCTGTTTGTCCTATACTTTGACGTACTGTGTAATTATGAGACCGGTTCTATAGCCCGTGCTAAGCTCTTCTACTCTCCCGTCTCCTCGCTTCTCTACAGCTTCATAGACCCTCTCTCTGTTCTGGCCTTGCTGGGGCCTTTGCACTTACCTCTTCCTCCTCCTAGAGCACTTCTTCTACACCCATTTTCCTGTGCCTCTTCATGAGTTAGTAGGGCTCAGCCCAAATATCACCTCAGACAGGCAACTCTTTGCCTCCCTCCCTGTCTTGTCCCCATGTCCCCTTGCTCTGTCTCATTATCACTAACTGAAGTTATATGATTTCTTTATATATTTATTTTCTGTCTCCCAAACTTCTCTACCAAAATCTAAACCTCTGAAGGCAGGCACTTGGTCTTATTCACCATCTCCTGGCAGCTAGGGCAATGTTTGCTATAGGGAATGCATTCAACACATATTAGTTGTGTGTGGGTGTGTGTGTTTTGTTTTGTTTTATTTACAAATTCAATATTATTTGTTCCCCAAAGGAAATGTACTGAACCTTTCCTTTCTCCCCTTCATGTTTTTATTTTCTTCTATCTGGTCTTTTCTCTTGCTTTTTTCTTCTGCAAAATGTTAGTTCTGTTTTATGTATTTCTTCTAAGCACATTGAGATTCTTATGCAAAGTATCATTTGATGATTAGGTTATTCATCATCTCTTTGCAATTTCAGAGCTTACAATTGAAATTGAACTAAATGAAGGGTAATACATGAAATAGAAGACGTCATAGACTAGTGAGCAAGGAAAGAGTTAATATTAATAGATGGTGCTAGGAAAACCAGCAAATCTTTGAAAAGAGATCAACTTATAACCTTACCACACAACAAAATAAATTCCAACGTGTACTCAAACACGCAGACATGGAAATGAAATATAGGTGCCCATCTGACCAGTAGTTATGTGAGAACTTTTTAATTTTTTATTTATTTTTAATTGACAAATAATAATTTTGTGAAGATGTTTTAACCTGAAAAGTAATGGAGGAAGTCACAAAAGGAACAACTGGTGGATTTGGCTATACAACAAATATTTTTAAGTATATACGTCAAAAATAAAATTAAAATAAATAGAAAATTAGGAAAATAGTGTAGTGGGTGTGACTGACAAATTAGAAAATCATTAATGTACAAATAACGTATACAGTTCAATAAGGAATATAAAAGTCTTGTCCCAGGGGCCCTTCTATCTCATTCCTGTTCTGCTGAAGTCTCCTTCTTTTCTATAAATGTTGGGACACACACACCCCCCTCCCCAGGCTTCTTTCCTCTCTATCGACATGGCTTCACATACTATCTATAGCTGAATGGTCCTTAATTTCTGTCTTCAGTTTTTTACCCCTTTCCTTGAATTCCAGACTTAAATAATCCACTGCTTACTAAATATTTTCTCTCGGGTGTTCCATACATATCTCAAATTTAATATTTTCCAAACTGATTCTCCCTCCATCTTCATAGACCTGTTGTCCCCTTAGTGTTTCTTCATTACATACTGGGCTTATTGCTCCTAGACCCCAACTCTTTTCCTTCCCTGATTTTAATTTGTATCCTTTTACTGCAATATACTGTCACCATGAATACAGTAGCTTCTCCAAGTTCCATGAGTCTTTCTAGCAAATCATCAAACCTAATCAGTAGTCTAGGGACCCTCTGTAGTTGAGACTAAGATTTCTTATACAGGAAACAAAAGGCAATAGAAAAGATAGATTAAATGAACTTTATAAAAATTAATTTTTTCTGTTAATCAAAAGACATCATTAAGAAAATGAATGGGCTCAGCACCTGTGGCTCAAGCAGCTAAGGCGCCAGCCACATATACCTGAGCTGATGGGTTCAGATCCAGCCCGGACCCGCCAAACAACAATAATGACTGCAACCAAAATATAGCCGGGGATTGTGGTGGGCACCTGTAATCCCAGCTACTTGGGAGGCAGAGGCAAGAGAATCGCTTGAGCCCAGGAATTGGGGGTTGCTGTGAGCTGTGATGCCACAGCACTCTACCCAGGGCAACAGCTTGAGGCTCTGTCTGAAAAAAATAAATGAATAGGCAAACCATCAAACACTGGAAAGTAGTATTTGTAATACATGTATCTGAAAAGGACTCCTATCCAGAATATATAAAGAATTTTTACAAGTCAAGAAAAAGACCAAATAGGCAAAATAGTTGAATAGACACTTCACAAAAGCAGATATAAAAATCATCATTGTTCTATGAAAAGATACTAAACATTATTAGTCATCAGGAAAATGCAAATTAAACCATAATGAGATATCATTTCGCAATGACTATCAATAGGAAATGATGGCAAGAGTGTGGAATGACTAGAAGCCTCATGTATCCCTGATGTGAGTGGAGAAAGGTATAATTACTTTGCAAGATAGTTTGGTAGTTAAACATACATCTACCCTGTAATAGAGCAGTTCAAAGTCTAAGTGTCTATTCAAGAGAAATAAAAACATGTATCTACATACAATAGTGAACATCAACAAAACACCTCCATGAGAATACAGCCTTATTCATAGTTCCCCAAATCTGGAAATAACCCAGTATCTATCAACAAGAGACAAGATAAATTATGGTATGTTCAGGTAATGGAATAATAGTCAACAATGTAAAGGAATGAACTACAGGTGGCCCTTGGTATACAGGGAGGGTACATGCAGTAATATGGATGAATCCCAAAAGCATTACTCTAAGTGAAAAAAGAAAGACAGAGAAGAGTACATAGTAAATGGTTCCATTCATGTGAAGCTCAAGAACAGACAACTAACATGTTGTGATAAAAACAAGAGAGTTTGGCTGACTGAGGAGGAGGGGTTAGAATTGACTGTAAAAGGACAAGAGGGAATTCTAGGATAAAAGAAATGTCCCAGGTATGTTATTTGGGATGGTTGTTACATAGGTATATACATCTTTATATTATATGTGATTGTATACAATTTACAGTCCATAAATTATATGTGAAGTATGCCTAAATTCTTTTTAAAAAGGGAAAAAGGTCTGTTTGTTCTGGATTAGATAGAAGATAGTATTACCATTTTACCTAAGTTGGTTAACACCTATCTTTAACAGAGCATAAAAAGCACTTAAGATAAACATGTGTTCATAGCAAAAATTCTCAGCTATTTAACACAAAAATATCTCAAAATTGCATTTATGTAGCCATCGGTGTCTTTGGAAATTCCGATCAGCAAGTTAGCTACTAATACTGATAACCATAGATTCTATGGCTTTGTGGCTTGGGGAACATTAGTAGCATATTATTTCTTCATCATAATTTAGCAATAAAATATCTTTGCAAAATACAGTCATTATTTAAGTAAATATAATAAAGCCTAATTTTAAAAATCTTACTGACCATATACAGTGAAAGTTTTTCAGGAGAGTCTTACAGTGCCTTTTAGGTTTCAAACCAGTATTTATATATTTATTGAATACTATAAACAGTGTCAGGTACTGTGGTAGGCCCTTAATAATTTGAAGATTGTAAGACTCAGGCCCTGACATCAAGGATGTTCAGACTCATGTGAGATATCAGTCTTAGGCACATAAGTTACTTTACAAGGGAAGCTAAAAAGCATTCATTCATTTCACAAATATTTGAATGTCTTCTCTGTGCCAGGTACTGAGAAAACAGCAATGAGAAAGACAGAGGTGGTTTATCTTCTCACAGAGCTCAGATTGTAGTATTAAATTACAATTGTTGGAACAATATTTGTGCTTCCTGGGAACCTGCAGTTTTTCAGGACATTCTAGTTAGGCCAAGCCCTGAGAGAAGCACTCCCAAGCTGAAGTATATCATGATCCCCAGAAGAGAGGGGGAATTATTAGCCAGGAGGCATTCTTGGGGTAAGAATAGAGTGCCACTGAGTAACGCATCCAGGGAACCCTTCTTATTAGAGTCTTCTTTCCCATGTAGGGGTCCTGAAAGAGGTCTTCTACACAGGACCTATCTGGCAGAGTTTTAATTCTGGAGTCC